GGGAGAAGGGTGCAATGTATGTGGCAATGCATCCTAGAGGGACAGGATCAGAGGCAGCGGCCCAGTTAGTTTAGTAATAGAAAATTAAGAGACCTAAGTAGCGGCTATATGACCCTTTACTCCTGGATGATGCTTGCCCAAGCAGCATTATTTTCTACCCCAAATTAGTATCACAGGCAGTGATTTCTCTGAGTGCTAGAAACACATACCAAGAATATTCAAAATTTTTCCAAGCATAGTAGTGTACCTGAGAGGCTAAGGCAGGAGGATCACTGCAAGTTCAAGGACGTCCTAAACTTTGTAGTGAAACCCTGACTCAAATCAAACAAAACAAAACAAAAAACTCAGCAACTAAGCCCACACCCTCACCCCAGAACTTGGGTCACTTGTATGCCTGTTATGGTTTAGATCTGGATGTCCCCCAAGAGCCTTATCTGTTCCTAGGCAGGGTTTTGGGAAGTGACTGGATCATGGGGGTGAGACACAGTGCATGAGTCCACTGCTGAGGTTACAGCTAAATGCAAGGTTGCGCAGTGAAGTCTTGTGAGGAGGTGGCCACTGGCGCGGTCTGGAGGGGTTCACTTCCCTCCTCCTCCCTTGATCCTCTGCACTCCTGGTCCCCACACTTTGAGCAGATCTCCTCCACCAGGTCTCTCCGCCACACCACCCTGCTTTGGAGCCACCTGACTATGGGCTGAAACCTCTACAAATCGTGGGCCTAAATACACCTTGTCTTCCCTTAAGTTGTGGATGTCAGTTTTGTTATGTCCCAGTGACAAGAAACTATGATACAAGCTGAGCCATCATCCACCATAAAAATGAGCACCTGATGACTTCCCTGGCACCAGGCTCTGCCTACCCTCTCAAGAGATCATTCGCCTCCTCAATGGGTGACCACCCCTCCAGGCTGAGCCCCAGCAGCAAGTGCACACCCCTGCCATTCTAAACCTTCTCCATCGGTTCTCAAGCAGACACAACAGTCTTCAGTTCTCACGGACCTCTTACATCCCTCTACCCCCAGCCCCTACGCTGACCGTGCTACCGGGTTTGCACAGTAGCACCTGTTGGAGCAGGCACCTGGTTAGGATGAGAGCCAGGCAGGAGTAGAAAGAATATGGAAAAACTCAGTATCACATGACAGAAAGAGCAGCAGAGGTAGACTAAGACACATCTACTTAACTTTCCCGTGGGGATCACCTTTCCAGAGCAGTCAGCAAGTCACAGGAGCAGAAACTGCTTAATATTTGTGTATTAAAATAGAACCCTACCGATAAAAACGAAAAAGACAAAAAAGAAAATAGGAAGAAAAAAAAAAAACACTAAATCCATTTATGTTGTTTGTTAATCAAAAACAAAACTGGATCTTTGCTATATAGTTCCCGCTGGTCTTGAACACAGTCTAGGATGGCTTCGAACTTGCAGAGACCTTCTGCCCAGTGCTAGGATTACAGGCACACACCACCGCACCCAGGTCTCAAAAAAAAAAAATTTTTTTTTAAAAATCAGATAACATCAGATTAAGGAGAACTGGGGCAAAAAGGAAGCAGACATGAGGTGACTTTAGTTCAGTAACTGGGCTAGGAAGAAGACAGGGAAACAGCTAGAGCGAAGAGGAGGTCTTGGAAGGGGCTCCTTTCGGTTTTAAACTGGGAGGAGCTTGAGCATGCGCACATCATGGGGGGAGGGGCGCACGTACGGTGAGTCCCTGGTCCTCTCCAGAGTCTGCCAGATAGACAAGTCAGGCGAGCGAGCCCAGCAGAGCCTGCATGTGGGGACGCAAGGCCACCTGGTGGTCAGCAGCTGGGTCTTCTCCACACTGGACAAACAATGCTGCTCGCACTTCTCATGCACTGCTTCAAACACTCCGTGCCAGGCCCACGCACCGCCCTTCAGCTCTCCAGAAACCGCTGTAAATGCTCCCACTTTTCAAGACAGCAGAACAGGGCTGAGTGTTCTCACACAGGATGGGGTGGAGAAGCAAAACTGTCTTTCCTCCCCATTACGCTCTGCGCCACAGACTTCAAGGCTGGTTGGTGGTTCCTTCGGATCCCTTAACAGGCGCAAGATCACTCTCCTCGGTGATGTTAAGCATTAGCAACCAGGCTTAGCTTTTTAGCAAGAAAATAAAACAAGAGTTCTCTATGGCGGTCAGTCAATAGTTCATCAGCTGTGCAAAAGAGAAACCACCACCAAAAAGGTCGTGCATAAGAATGCAAGGAAGTAAGTGGAGGAAAAAACCGCTGACATTAACATGAAATCATAAACCAATCCCATGTCGCTTGAGGAGCACTGCCGTCTCATGGAAGAAGTGTTTATTTTCAAAGGGAGAAAGTGTCCAGGAATTGGCACTTATCGCTCCCTGGGCCGCTGTCAGGGAGGAAAGCCAGGCCACTCCAGCTGGGTGATGGGTGAGCGCCCCCCTGAGGCGGGCAGAGCGCATGCGCAGCACACTGCCCTCCTGGAGTTCACTCTACTGCAATCCACCCGCCAAGGAGAATTAACAGGCAACTAACTGTTCTCGTGCAAAACAGATACAAAAATCAAACTCAAGAGCAGCACCTAGGGAGAAGTCTTGTCGTTCACAATTTCAGATGGCGCACAATGCAGGCTATTGTTCTGGTGACCTGCAGCTCCTTAACAGCTGTCCCTACAAAGGACAGCACTGTGGGCACACAAGAGCAACTTAAGCTTTTTCTCTGTCCAAAAGTCCCTGCTTTAACATCCAAAGAAACTGGCACTACAAAGATGCCAGCTTGTAACAAGGCTCACTGCTCATGAAGTTGGCACTGAAGTCACTGTGCAGACCCCAGTCGAGGTGGGTGTCCGTGCAAGCTCCAGCCTTGCAGGCCTGGAAGGATGCAGGGAGAGGACCCAGTCTCGGGCACCAGGGAAACAGTCCAGACCAGCACCAGTCACACACAGCAGAGCAGCAGGTGGAGAAGGGACCAGGGTGTCCCCACACAGAAGGTAGGAAACTTCTCTCCCATGGAGTCACAACACAGGTCTGGTCTCAAACTCACAGGGATCCTCCTGCGTCAGCTTCCCAACAACTGGGATGCACCACAACATCTAGCCTGACCTAGCCCTATTGACAAGGTGGCTCATTTCTTAGCTGTAAACTCCCTTTGCTTTAGGCATGCCACACTTCATAACAAACACCACCAAGAGGGAGTGGGAGAGGCCCTCGCACATTCCACAGCTATGGACAGGCATTCCACACATGTTTAAGAGCAAGGGTGCTGGGTAGCAGAAGGGGCGGGACTGCGTTTCCTCTGCTCACTAAGTATATTTCAGTTTGTATCTTTACAAAGGGTGAATTGTTAAGAGTATAGAAAAGTAGAGTTCCAAAAATAGATTTTCTATCTTCTCCAGGGTAAATAAACATTTTTTTCAACTAGTGGTGACTCACATTGTCAGAATTAAAACATATTCTGTATACAATAGCCTAAAATGAAAACAATTCTCAGAATTCGGGCAGGGGGGAGGAGTGTTGCAGACTGATGACAAGATACCAAAGCACACAAGAAGCCCTCAGAACTCAGCAGAGGCTATACCAGTACCCACGATTAAGGCTGCTTTCCGTGGAGGACAGAAAAGGCAGAGGGGGCTATTTTGTACTGCACACACACTGCTGAGCAAGACTAAAAAATAATTACAATGAGCTAAATATGTGACCCATAAATACCATTAACTACAAATCATCATTAATAAGCATTAAATACACAGAGAGGAAGCAGAGAGAGCCAGCAACATTCCCTGCAAAACTTTTTATACATCTGTGTGCATGCAAATAAATGCTCAATCTGGATTGAATTTCTTCACCACACAATCCACATTTCTGCAGCATCCTCAAGGCCAGCAGGAACTGAAGGGCAGCCAGGGCCCAAGGCCTCCTCACAGCCCAAGGGGGCTCCTCCACAGCTTTGTGGCTGCAACACACCCAGCACCCCACAAGAGAGGGTGACAGAGCCCAAGAGACAGGAAACAGGAAGGAAGGGAGAGAAATCTGCTTCTGCGGGAAGCAGGAGAGATCCAAGGCTGGGAGAAGCCGCCCTTCCAGGAGGGGTGCAGGGCCCGGTGGGCGCTGGGCTCCACCTCCCAACACCCCCTGTCAGCAGGAGCCCGCAGAAGAAGAGGTGTGGCTTCACCTGGGCCTTTCCTCCATTCAGCTCCTCCCACAACCAGTTCTCAGACTGGAACAAAAGCAGGGCCTGGCTCTGAGTTTCTTCTGGGGGCTGCATCCCCACCGGCAGGCAGGCAGCAGTGACTGACTGGCTTCAGCTAGATGGTTGCAATATACACTTGGTTTTTCCTTTCTCCCGACATAAACCACACCACTATGTTAGAGGGAGAGGGTTCTTCTACTAAGTCACACACTTGGGATGACTTGGAACCCATAATTAGTGTCAGTAATAGTAGCTTACAGCCATAGCCCTGGGCACCTCAGGCTCAGCCCCAGGTCATTACAGCTACACTGCCAGCTTGAGAAAAGTCCAGTCTGACCTGCTCCCTGGCCTGGGGCACCCTTGCTAAGAACTGTCATTTACACAGTCCTCCTTGGGAACCCAAGTCCCCCACAGCAAGCACCAACAGGTATGTCTGTCGGCAGCTCTTCCAGAATCACACCACCTGGCTCACACCACCTTGAAACTCAGTCCAGCAGCCAAATGGTTTCAGGGCCCAGAGATCACCCACAGTGTCATTATTGTCTCGGTAAGGGGCTGTGTAGGTCCCAGTAGCCACAGGCTAAGGATCTGTGAAGGACACAGACATACTCATGTTTGGTGAGGTGGTGCGGGTACAGAATTTCAGAACAGTCCAATCTACGCACTCACACCTCCATTTAACTCCACAACGGACTTGCTAAAGAAACCTAAACAAAATAGCAGCTCTGGACCTCAATTCCTCCCTGAAAACAAGGCAAAGCTATCAGATGATGTCTGAGGCCCTGAAAAGTCCCATGGCAATCAGGTAATTAGAGAAGACAGGGCAGTCTATAATTAAGTGCTAAATTATACAGGGGCAGCCACAGCTGTCATTGGAGAGAGGGGGGTTTATCTTCTGGTGGTTTTGGAGCTGAGCTCCGACCTCTGACCTCCGACCTCCACCTTCACCTCCCTGCAGAGCAACTTCCAGAGCTTGGCCAGGGCCTCGGGGATCCAGAGAGCAGCAAGACACAAGGTCCTGCCTTGAAGGGGCTCCTGAAAGGTCTGAGTACAAAACCAACCAGGGCTGGGGTTGGCCTATGACCTTTTCAGGGCAATGAGAGAAAAGTGGGCTTCCCATGGACATTACAGAAACATTTGGTGGGGTGAGGAAGGGTGAGTGACCATGAGGTCCCCCAACAAAAGCAAGGGCCACAAATCCACTGATCATCAGTGAAGCAAGCAGGGCCTGGCAGTCAGCCGACACCCAGCCTTCCCAGCTTGGGCCTGGCCTCTCTCACGATAACTGTTCTGCCTGGACCCTGCTCAGGGTGGCAGTCCACCCCTTGTTCATTCTAGCTCTGCCTGCATTTTATGGGGTACCAAGCAGGAAGTCCTCACCTCAATTAATTAAATTTGAGCTCAAACCGCAGTGTGGGTGCTCAACGTGCTCAGGCTGTGGGTTCCAACCCAGAAGTAAATAAATAAAACTGAAAGGGCTCTCAAGATTCAGGGAGACCCGGGCCGCTGCAGGTAACCAGCCAACAATATCCACTGCATGGAAGTTGCTAGAAAGACTGAACAAAGCCAGCGAGGTCATATAGTCCATTGCAGGGAAAACTATGTCTGCAGCAGTTAAGGCATATGGCTTTACAACTAGTCTGAAACATAAAAAGAACCATCTGCACTTTAATTTTTCAAGCTAAATGGTCACACAATTCACTTCTTCCAGATCTGCAAGTTACGGTACAAAGTCGTCTGTGCCCTGAATGAATCTCGTTGCCTACCAACGGTGCATTCCATTTCCCAAATGCTTTCCCTGCAATGCTAAGGGGCTGAGACCTTCAAAACCAATCTCAGCGCTTGGATTTTGAGAGCCGCCGCAACTGGTGCAACTCTCTTAACAAAAACAAAAAACCGGTCGGATCGCTGCCCATCTCCAAAGACCCCTTTGCAATCAGACCAGATGTGTGCGCTGTTTACACTGCGCAAACCACCAGGAGGCGAGCAACTCAGCTCTACACAGTAAGCATTTCGCATGCTTTTTCTGCGTACCCTGTGTATTTATTTTGGTGTTAAAATAATGTTAACTTTCATAATAAGGAAAAGAGAAGCAGATGTGGAAACCCACGGATAGCCTATTATCCCATTTATCGGCTTAATTCTCAAAATCCAAGCTGCTTCCTTCCAAATACCCGGAGAGAGGGGCGCTACAAACGACTCCACTGTAAATCCACCCTGCGCCGCTGGCCCTTCCTCCTGAGCCCAACCGGGACCGAAAACTGCATCTGGAGTGCATTTCCCAGCCAGCCTCCCCCTTAGCTCAGGCTGATCGCTCGCCGTATTCCGCCTGGCTTCTGAAACATCCCATTATGTGTCCACCAAGACAATACAACAAACTGCCTTGGAAGTTTGTATTTCCCCGTTTACTGGGGGAAAGTTCTAGAAGGAACAGGGGCGGTCAACGCCGCGAGAAGCAAGTCGGGCCGAGGCTGCGGGCGCTCGCAGAGAGGCAGCAGATTCCAAGAAAGCCACTCACCGGCGTTCTCCCGACCGAACTAGTAATAAGTAACAATAAATACGCTTTCAGAAAACTTTAAGATCTTTATCTGCGGAGGTGATTATTTTGGGAGACTTTTTTCCTCGAAAGGGAAAACGAAACAAGTTTTCCAGGTCTGAGTGGCAAACAGAGCTGTTCATTTCATAAGAAAAACACCAGCGAATCAGCTTCCCCTCCCAAGTTCGGGTCTGTTTTCTTTTTCTTTCTTTTCTCCTCCAGCCCGCCTTAGAGAAAACCCGGCAAGCGCCCCGCTGGATCAGGACGGGGAGGAGGGTCCGCCGTCCCTGCGGGCCGCCACAGAGCGCGCCCCGCGGCCGGGCCGGGCCTCCCTGCGCCGGGCCGGGCCGGGCCGGGCCGGGCCGGGCGGGCCATTGCCGAGGCCGCCGAGCGCACGTAGTGTCCGGCGGAGGGAGGCCGGCGCACCCCGGGCGAGGGGGGCGCAGAAGGCCGCTGGCCGCAGCTCCCCGCCCACGGCGCGGCGGTGTCAGCGCAGAGGGGACGCGGCGGTCAGGACTCGGGGCGCCACACAAAGGCCCCGAGGCCTGCACCCGACTCGGCGGCCCATTGTTCCGGCCGTCGCCCCGGCCCGGCCCCCGGCGCGGCCGCGCGCACCGTACCTTCGTAGCACAGGATGCCGATGTTGTTCATCTTGTCCAGGTACTGGAAGTTCAACAGGTCCATCCTCATAAACAGCATTTATCGGCGCGCGAGGAAACCAGCTCTTCGCTCTCGCCGGGGAGAACGCTGCAAACGCGGTGGTCGCGGGCGGCTCCTGCTCCCTCGCCCGCCGAGGCCCGGCCCCGGATCGCAACAAAGTACGGCGAAGTTGAAAGAGAAAGAAAGGGGAGCGCGCACAAAACCCGCCTCAGACCCCTCCCGGGACGGGCGTCCGGCGCGCACGCAGGGTCCTGGCCGCAGCGTCCGGGAAGCGGCCGGGGGCCTCAGCGAGTCCGTCCCCGACGCAGAGGAAGGAGAACACGGGCGCACTTCCCAGGACAAAGCCGCGCTCACAGCCCGCTGCGAGCCGACTGCGCGGACACGCGGGGCGCGCGGCGGGGGCGCCCAGCCCGGGAGCCGAGCATGCTCACTGTGCCGCGGGCTCCTGCTCGGCCACCGGAGCCCACGTCGGGGGAGGGGCGCGCAGGAAGCGGAGCCCTGCAAACGGGAGGAGAGCGCCAGCCAGCGAGTTTCTTTTTCAGGAGCAGAGCATGAAGTTTAAAAAAGAAAAAAAAAAAAAAAAAAAACATGGTGGAAGCGAACGTCCCAGCAACTTTTGTGTGGCTTCACCCGTTGTTTGGAAACCAGACGTGTTCTAGATGGGCTTTTTCTCCGGTTTCTTTTTTCTTTTTAAGATGGGTTCGTCGTGCATCCCTGGTTTAAGGTCTTAGTGTTAATGTCACGCAACTTCTTTCAAAACCCATGACCCACGCGGAGGGGTGGGCCTAGTCAGGGATGATGTCAACTTTTCACAGCAGGGGAAACTGAGGCCCAGAGGGCAAAACACTGAAAAGAGCTGACAGTTCTACTAGTTTTAAAATATGGTGTCCCATAAGAGTACCTTAAGATTAAAATTTTTAAAAGAGGGAGAGTGTGCTAGTCTGCAGGCTAGGCCTGAGTTGTTAATCCTCAAAATGGGTGAAGGAAGGAAAGGCTGCAGGACATGCTATGGTCTAAAATCTAGCAACTGCTGCATTTGGAATGATGGAGTGATGGGGGCAGGTTGTTCTAACCTCTGTGAGTTCAGAGGACCCCGATTCTGTGACCAGCAGCAGCTCTAGAGTGAGCGAGTGGACAGCAAGCAGGACCAGGACTACAGGCCCCCCCCCCCCCCCCGTTTCGGCTCCGCGTTGTCTAATACTACGTGAGCCATGCTGGGAGACCCACGCCCACATCTGTCACTAAGATGCTGTAGGGTGGCTGTGTATGCAGGCTAGGATGAGCCCTGCCACAGCTCAGCACACAGGAGATCACTCTACTGCAGGTTGGTGTTTCAGGAAGCTTGACTCGGGTCCAAATGACTGTCAGAGCACTGTTATGAGCTAAGTTCTTTCACAGAGGTTCTCGGTTACTGTCACAGAACTATACCTCAGAAGCACATATTACTGGTGGGAGAGAGCTGGCTGTATCTCAGCATTAACAGGGAGCTTTTAAAACTCTGGGTGTTGGAAGGGCACAGGGATGCACATCTGTAATCCCAGGACTTGGAAGGCAGAGGCAGGAGACCCCCATGAAGTTGGGGCCAGCCTGGGCTATGTCATAAGTTCAAGGTTAGTCTGGACTACCTAGCAAGACCCTGACTCAAGAAACAAAACAAAACAAAATGTGAGTGCGGAGGCCATGTCCCAAGCTGAAGAGGGGATGACGGGGTCTGAAGGCTCTAACAGTCTCTTGTGATTCATATGTGCAGCTGTGCTAGGCATCCTGCTTTCTTCACAGAAGGAAACACCTGCTGAATATGCTTTGCGTTAGACATCCAGGGAGTGTCAAATGGTGCTTTAAGCACATGATTCAAACAACACAGTTGTAAGATAGGAGTAAATTATTTGGTGACTTCCTTTCACGACTCAACATAACGCAGCGTGGCTATCAGTGAACCAGTGACAGCCATTCATATAGGTGACATCGCCCAGGACACAGATTTGAGTCTCCATGAGCAACTTCTTGCTGACCCAGATGCTACAGAGTACCAGCCCAGCAAGGACCACCGAGGGATGTGAGGACTCGCTGCCCCTGTCCCTAACACGAAGTATGGAAACTGACAGTGGACCCAGAAATGACGGCTGAAGCGGGAGGATTTATAGTTCAAGGTCAGCCGGAGTTAGACAGCTCACACAAGCAGAAACAGAAACGAAATGCATGATTAAACTCGGGCTTCAGCCCCAAGGTTATTTCATTATGCACACATGATATCTCAGAAACAAAACAAACAAACAAAAAGGATTCTCAAGTAGAGATGCTTATCATGCTTTTTATTTTTCCCTGGTGCAACTCCTCCCCTTTATTTTTTCTCTTCTGAGATACCCGTCTGAATCTGTTGTCTTAGCTGGCCTGAAACTCCAGGGCTCAAGTGATCCTCCTGCTTCAGCCTCCCACACAGCTGGGACTACAGGCCCATGTCAGCACATTTTTATCTTATTTTATTCACATTTTGTGTACATGTGGTGCTCAGGATGGAGCCAGGGACACACTCAGACTAGGCAAGTGTCTCCTGCTGAGCTGCACCCCAACTTCACAGCGCCAACCAGAAAACCTACAAGTTCAAAACCAAAAGAACAGGTTAAAACTGATGTGGCAATGACAACATTATGCAGCTGTTTTGACACCTCCAAACCATAAAGGCATGAAGGAATGTTGAACTATGTGCAACGTAAAAAAACTGAACTACATTCATGACTGGAAACAACAGAATAGGATATAAAAGGAATGCTCTGTAGACCAACCTAGCTTCTGTTCTCAGGAAAGTACATGCATTTACAGAAATCTGTGCACCTTAACCAGCCAGGAAGTCTAGCACAAAAGTAACAGGCTCACTTCTGGAGGTGGGCGTTCCCTAAATCACCTGCCCCTCTCACTGACCAACAGGGAATATTCCTTACATAATGAAGGGTCTCTTGTTTTCCTAAAAGGAACATAAGAAAATATTTCCTGCTAAGACAGAAGCAGTGGGTCATACAGATCTTCTTTTAGAATAACATTAAATCTCTTTTTGTCTTCCTTTTGAGTCAGGGCCTTGCCATGGTGCCCAGGCTGATCTCAGCTCAAGGTTCAAGCGATCCTCCTGACTCAGCCTCTCCTGTAGCTGGAGCTGCAAGTGTACATTACTTCATCTAGCTAGATACCTCCTTTTGACTTAGGCTTAACAACTAAAAATAATTAAAATATGAATTTTTACTTAGACCTTTAGAAGATTCAAAAACATTCGAGATTAAAGCATTTGTCCTAAAGAGCAAGCCAACAGGGAAAACCCTAAACTTTCAGAGCTATAGACATATGTGCATGGTTTACTATTTTTTTGAGACATGCAGTTCCACATGGCCTTCAACTCATTATGTAGGCTGGCCTGCAACTTGGGGCAATCTTCCTGCCTCAGTCTCCCAAGCGCTACAATTACAAGCATATATCACCACATCCGGTTCTGCATGTTTTCCATCTTTACCATTTACAAATGATGCTACAACAGTAGCAGCAGCTTCCAAACCTCATTATAATGACCGCATGCTGACCGCAGGACTGCAGCATCTGCATGCAGGAGGGCTGACACCCAGCACAGAACACATCGCCAGACAGGAGAGCTGGGAGATAAAAGCCAAAGGCTGGAAGCTCTCTCCAGACATTCACTCCCCACAAGATGCTCCTGCCAAGGCTGGCAGTGAGGGAAAGGCCCCAGGCTGGGTCTCACAGGAATCTCCTCCATCATGGGATCTGGAGCTGTGTCTCTTCCACCTCCATCAAAGCAACTGCTCCCTCGTCCTGGACTGAAGAGTGCCACAGTTTTCTTCCAGGTTGGGGGTTTGCTGAGACAAGGTCTCACTATGTATTCCAGGCTTGTCTTTTTGCTTTTATTTATTTATTTACTTATATTTATTTGAGACTGGGCTATAGAGCCCGGGCTGGCCTTGTACTCATGGCAACTCTCCTGCCTCTGCCTCCCCAGTGCTGTGATTATAAACGTATGTCAGCACATCCAGCTAAAGGTATTTATTTTAATGTCCTTGACATATCTTTAATAAAAAGCTCTGTAACCCCATAAGTGAATAATAAAATAGGCCTTAATGAAGGAAGAAAAAAAGATTCACTAGTGCTTGCTGTAAAGTACCAAAAAGGTGTATGGGCAAACTCCCTGTGTCCTGGGAATATGGGCCATCTCTGTTTAGTGCTCATTCCTCTAGATGCCTGAGTGGTCCTGGTGTCACCAAGACCTTCCACAATGATCTCACCTACGGAGACAGGCTGTGAAAAGGCAAATACAGGAAAGGGATTGGGGCTGTTAGGTTTTGCACACCAGGCAATGCTCACCACTGAGCCCACCTGACCTTCAGAAAGGGTCTATCTGATGGGCTGGGTGGAGAGGGCCAGGTGCATGGCCCCAGAGCGCAGGTTTCTAGCACTGCCAGGGGAATCTGGCCCAGAAAGACTCTACTCCACTGCTCCGGTGGCAACGGGATCCTGTGCGTAAGACAGGGTGCAGGGCTGCACCTGACCTGAAACCCACCCTCCTCAGTCTCACAGCCTACGCCTGCACCCTTGTGACTGACTTGGTGACTGAAAACAACACCTCAACGCTAATCCCATGCACAGGTGCCTGTGAGGATGAAGGCTAGGAAGAAGTACACACAGTTTCTTGTTCATTAAGGAAGCTTTGTCACGAGAGCACCCCTCTTCACACATCTCAGCCAAGGAAGCCTGAGGTTGGATGCCTGGGGTTTAAATCAAAAACCTGCACTGAGAGACAAAAAAGAAGACTCAAAATACCAAACTTCCTTTTCTTTTATTTAGTTTGTTGTTGAGACTCGGTCTTGCTACGTATTCAAGGCTGGTCTTGAACTCACGATGTACCCCAGGTTAGCCTCAAACTCCTGGTGATCCTTTGGCCTCAGCCTCCCAAGTAATAAGGATGACAGTCATAGGCCACCACATCCACTTTTTGTACTGGGGATCAAACTCACGATCTCAAGCTTGCCACAAAGGCAATCATACTGCTGAGCTAAATCTCTGGCCCCCACATTAAAACTTTTTAAATATTGCTTAGGGCTGGGATGTAGCACAGTGGTAGAGAGCTTACATAGTGTCTCTGAAGTCCTGTGTTTAAACTCTGGCACCACAAAAACAAACAAATCAATGCTGTTATGAACAAATGAGCCTTAGGAGACCTAAATGAGCCCCCGTCTCTGGCAACCATTAGCTAAAATTAATCTGTGGACACCACTATGCCTGAGTTCACACTGTGCTTAACCATCAAACAACACAGATTACACCATACAGAAAGGATGCCTCTGCGCACAGTAGGTTTTCAACAACGTACAAAACAGATTAGAGGAACCAAAACAAAATGCATTTCAAATTCCTCAGGAGCCGGATGTAAACCTGGAGCCTGCGCAGTTCTGTGCTACTGGCTTTCACCAGGCCGTGGGGGCCTCCCTCTGGCGCAGGATGTAGCTATTTCAGCAACCGGGGGCGCTGGAAGAAAAATGATCCGAAACATGTAGTGTTTCATCCAACTTTTTCACAAAAGCAACTGCTGCTGAGCTCTGTCTTAGGTTGTGTCATTCATAAAATGGTCTTGTTTGTTAACCGACACACTGGAGAGGCTCATGATCTCCTACTGTTACAATGGAAGTTAGCATAAATGTGTTGCTTCCTTGGACTTAAAATGGTTCTTTCGGGGCTAGGGATTTAGCTCAGCGGCATAAGCGCCTGCCTTGCAAGCAGGCAGTCGTGAGTTCGATCCCCGGTACTGATAAAAAAAAAAAAAAAAAAAAAAAAAAAAAAGACCAAAAAAAGTTCTAAGTTCTAATAAAGTTTTAAGTTCTTCCACGACTTAAAACTTCCAATACAACATCCCCCTCTAGGGGCGAATTTCAAACTG